CTCTTGGCAGTCAGCGGTATGTTCAAGACTCCAGCACCACAATTCAAAGGCATCAAATTCTTCTTCTGTCATCCTTAGTCACTGTCCAGCTCTCTGATGCATAACAAGTAATTGTAAAGACCATGGCCTGGATCAGGTGCACTTTAGCCCCTAAACTGACATCATTACTCTTTAGCACTTTGAAGAGGTCCCTGAAAACAGACTTCCTCAATTCATCTTTTGATTTCCAGTCTGCTGGTGCCAAGAGTGTTGACTGTGGAGCTCAGCAAACTGAAATTGTTAATAACCTTAATCTCTTCTCCATCGTGGTGCTGCCAGTTGGCCCAGTGGTGAGAACCTATGTCTTCTTGTTGAGCTTCAATTCGTTTTGTAGACTACAGGTTTTGACCTTCTGCAGCAAAGGCTTCAAGTCCTCCTCAGTTTCGGCAAGCAAGGTTGTGTCATCTGCATAATGCAGGTTGTTGATGAGTCTTCCTTCAATCCTGATGCCACATTCCTCCTTTTAAAGCCCAGCCTCTTGAATGATGTGTTTTGCATACAGACTGAAAAGGTATGGAGACAGGATGCATCCCTGACACAGCCCCTTCCCTATTTGAACCATGCAGTGTTTTCTTGCTCTGTTCTGAGGACTGCTTCCTGACCCAAGTATAGGTTTCACATGTGCACAACCAAGTGTTCCGGGATTTCAATTCTTCTTAAGGTTTGCCATAATTTGTTGTGATCCACACAATGTAATGAAGCACAGATGAAGAGTCAATGAAACATAGAGAGACGTTCCTCTGGTCCTCTGCTTTCAGCCAAGATCCATCTGGCCCTGGCGAGAATGTCTCTAGTGCCACGGCCTCTTCTAAACCCCACTTGCATTTCTGGTAGTTCTCTGGCAATGTACTTGCTCCAGTCACTGTTGGAGAATCTTCAGCAGGGTTTTGCCTGTGCATGATATTAGCAATCCATGGGATCTGGACTTAGAGCCTCCTAAACTCAAGGGAGACTGGCAGCAGCAGGAGAGACCAGCAGTAGTGTGAGGTGTGAGGCGTCAGAGAAGTGACTTGATGCCTGAGCCATCACAGAAAGGGTTGGCTGGATGGGTGGGCAGGAAGGTGCTGGACGGGGCAGGTGGGAGTTAAGGGGATGCTGACAGAGCAGGGAAAGGGACGGGACACGACACGTGCACCAGGTGAGGGGAATGACACTGAATCCACTGGTTACTTCAGGAAGGGGGAAGCCTCTTTCATCTGCTCCTTTGGGTAAAGGGCTTGTCTGTCAGATATTGCTCTGAGCATCTATATCAAGACAGACTAGGAAGGCGGACCGGTCAAGCACTTCTGAAACAACAGGACTTTAAAAGCCTTATGTACTAAGGACAAAGGCTGCATAAGACCATTACTGTAGAAACAGATAACCAGTAAAAAGTGTATGAGGGTCTAAGAGGGGGGGCATGAGCACACAGGGGTGAGAATGGGTGAGGGGACATAATCACAGGGCTGCACAATTTGATGAGTTGAGGGAGGGAAGAGTTAAGGAAATGGGAAAGATCTGGTATGGAAAACAATGTATACACAATTTCTAAGTAAACCAGTATAAATAAAAAGTGTATATTAAAAAAATTAAAGAAAACAGATACACAAATAATCTGTAAAGAATGAGATTATTCTGAGCGATGTCCTAAATGATTTACCTTACTTCAAATTTGATTTCAACTTTGACAACTTTGAAACTGAGATTATGAATGTACTTTTCTTAAATAGAAGCAATGACACAACCCCCCAAACACCTGAGACACATTAGAGTAGACTAGCAGATATGGGATATGGCACCTGAGCCTGAGTCCTCGAATGGGGAAACACCTGTGTACGACAGAACACATTAGAGTAGACTGGCCCCCAAACACCTGTGTGTAACAGAGCACCTTAGAGTAGCAGGTATGGATTTCTGAGGTACTCAGAGTAGACTAGCAGATACGGCACCTGAGGCTGAACCCCTGAATTCAGAAACACAAATGAGGAGGAACGTTGTAACCAGATACTAACGATTGGAATGTGGAATGTGAGAAGCACACAGACAAATCCACTCCTGTACACACATGCACAAATACACAGACCTGCACACACGTGCACACAGCCTTGCTGAGGGTGTATGGGGACTCCTTAAGAACTGGGATGGAACACAGGTCACTCTCAAGTTCACAGCTCGGCCCACTTTGAAGCTCCTTCAGGCTTCCTGTTTTCTGCCTGTCCTACTTTCAACCAGACGCCAGACTGGGCCTTGCTCCCTCATGAACCCTCGGGCACAAACCTCTCCAGGATTTAGACAAAGGGGCGCCTCTCCCAGGCAGCTATGTGTATGCATGGTGAGTGGAGCTGACCCTGTCCAGGCAAGCCCCTGCCCACCATGCCCTGTTCCTCTGCGGCAGGCAGCACCCTGCCCAGGCCGCATATCCTCAAACAAGAGGAGGGGCTGGGGACCCAGATGTTGGTGGTTCAGGTCCACCCAGGCGCGCCATGGAGGAAAGACTTGGCCAGCTGCGTCCACGCACACGGTGCCCTGGAAGCCCTGTGGTGCCCTCCACCCTGTCACACACGAGTTGGGGGCCAGCTCAATAATGCTGACAATAGCAACACTGAGTCACTGGGACAATGATATGAACAAGGTGGGCAGCACGCCCAGCACAGTGGCACCTGAGTCACCCAGGCTGACCTTCCCCTTCGTGAGCTGAGGGATGCAGCCTCGCATGGGGCCCCAGCTCATCCCTCCTCCAGTGCTCTTCACCCCACCTGCCACCCCAGCTTCCGGGCTCAGTCTCTCCCAGGGCCCTCTGGGAGCCCGAGGGAGGTCCCCTCCAGGCCAGACACAAGCCCAGCCTGGCTCTGGACAAGCACTCTCCCTACTGTAGCCAAACACCCCTCCCTGCCCCGATCCTGCTCCAGTGACCCCGCTGCACTCACTCTCCCCCAGGCCTGGCTCCTTCGGAGGAAGTCCCAGCTGGCAGCTGGAGCCCAGGGGTTTCCGGTTTTTGATTATGCAGTGGTGCTGGAAGGCACTGGGAGGTCCACCCAGACCAGGTGGGGAGCCCAGACACCCACAGACAGTCTCGCCTTCCAGGCACCAGGAGCAGCGACCACTGCACACTATCTTCCACCAGCCCAGACACGCTTCTGAACGGGACCCTGACAAAGCCAGCGTTCTCTCGGGCAGTGAGTGCTCCACAAAGCAGCCATCTACAGGGAAGCTGGGGGTCAGAGGAAGTCCCAGGGCAGAGAGGAGGGCCCTAAGGGGTGTCTGAGGATGTCCATGTGTGAGGCTTAGTCCTTCTTCCTCAGAGCCGCTGGTGGGCTGAACTACTGTCCCTTTGGTCAGCAGCCCAGCGCGTGGCCTGCCGCGTTACCAGGGCGCCGGTGCAGTGGGGCCTTGACTCCCAGACTCAGAGGACCATCTGGCCCCCCCCCTCAATAATCAACAGAGGAAACACGCCTGCTCCCCTGCTGGGCTCTCGCTCCCAGGAAACACCCACAGACCTGCAGTCCTAGCTGCCCACCCCCCAGGGCCCAGACTCTGCTCGCATGCCCCTAACCAGCATTGGGCCCTCCTGGCCGCTGGCCAGCCAGCAGTCCCTTTCAAACATCCAGTTGGATGAGGCCCTGCAATGGCTTCTGTCCCACTGGCCCCACTTCAGGGCTTGCCCCTCCCCCGGCCCTCCTCTCCAGTTCAGCTGACCAATCACACTGCACTCACTGCTCCTCAGGGGCACAGAACGCCCCACAACCCCAGTCTCTAAGCAAGTATCACGGAGCAGCATCATCCCTACCACCTGACCGGCCACCACCTGACCGGCCACCATCTGCCATCTCTCCACCTGCTCCAGGGGTCACTCACGTCTGTGGACAGTGTCTGCAGCAGAGGCTCCACTGGATGCTGGGGTGTGGGGCACCGCCTGCCCCCAGAGGCATTTAGTAAACGCTCTCAGGAGGTGGCCCCAGTCCTCTCAATGACTCCTCTCAGCAACCACCCCCCAATCTCCCACCCCAAGCACTAGCCTGGCTCACCCCTCCCCCTTAGGAAGCTGAGGTGACACCACCTTTCTAAGCCTTTGCCAGGTCTTATTCTGTCCCTCAGGCCAGCTTCCGACAGGCAGGGAGTGTTATGTCCTGATGGCCTCTGGTCTCCCACTCTGTGTCCTTCTGCAGGCAGGTGCACTGGATCATTCTAGACGTTAGATCTTCTCTAAATTGGGGGCCTTAGAGGTCACTCCTCCAGAAACAAAATGAACAGTCTGTCCTGTCTCCTTCAGGACACCCCGGCATAGAGGACATCCCAGGGGAGGTCATTCCGCTCTTCTGAGGGCTCTAGAGACAGGAACCCAGTTCTGTCTTCAGAAAAGCCCTATCCGGGTCAAATGGAAACCACTTCGGGTACTACATGGTTCATAGCATCTCCAGGGGGCCCCAAAGCTGAGGTGGACCCTGCAGAGGGCGCAGGTTCCCAGCCAGGCCACCTTCAGGCTGTGACCTCCCCCACCACCCCGGGCAGCCTGCGGCCTTGCCCAGGGGTCACTGAGGTGCCCACCTCCCTTGACCATATTCCTGGCCTCCCCGCTCACCCCCCTGCCGCTGGCTCTTTGTCATCTGTGTCCAGGCGTAATGTCCTGGGGGAAGCTGGACCACACCTCTTCTTTGCCAGCTGCCCTGGGAGCCCCCAGAACATCCCTTCCGCCTCCGTGCTCCACCCGGCACCTTCCTGGAACACTGCACCCCACCATCCCGCACTCTCCTTCAGCCTCCAGATCTCCAGGCCCTCGCTCCCCCAAGTCCTCCCACCTCCTCCATGTCCCACACTCACCCCGCGCCCCAGACCTCCGCTTCTCGGGTCCCTACCTCCCCCTCCCACTCGGGCTCTCGCTTCCCCCGTCTCCCAGGCCCCCCTTGGCCTCCTCCGGGCCCTCGCCCGCCCAGGTCTGCCTCCCTCGGGCCTCCTGCTCCCTGCCCGGAGCTCAGCGCACTCACCCGCGCCAGGGTCGCCCGCGGGCCCCGAGCTCCGCCACCAGCGCAGCAGCTCCCGCGCGGGCTCCAGGCTCACGGCGCACAGCTGCGCCTTCACCCACAGCTGGGAGCGCAGCGGC